GGTGCGCCCCGAGCGGCGGCCGCTTCCGGGAGGGCTCGAGCGGACCCTTTCCCGGCGGCTGCCAGAGCCCCCGGGGGTTGGAGTAGGGGTCCGGCCTGAAGCGCCTCCCCCAGCCGCGGTCCTCCGCGTTCCGCCCGCGCTGCGCCTGGCTCGGAGCCCCTCCACACCCTGTCGACCACTCCTTCCGGCCAGGGCCGCTCGCCCGGCGCCTCTGCCGAGCCCCCTGCAGCCCTCATCTGGGCCTCGATCCCACCGCCAGCCCCCGCGTCGCCCGGCTCCGTCTTGCTTCCGACGCCGGTCCCTCGGAGCTCGAGCTTCGACCCTCCGCCCCGCCCGGGTCTCCTCGCTTCTGCGCCATGCCCCGCGCGGGCTCTTGCCCACCCAGATCCACTCCCTCTGCTACCCAGAGCTAACGCGAGGCCAGGCCCAGGTCGGCCTAGGACAGGTCACCAGGCCGGTTGGAGGAGGGGCCTGAGAGCGATGCGAGCCTGTGCACCTTGCCCCGAGATTCCCCCCAAAGCTACCCGCAAAATTCCTTTTGGGGCTAGGACTGCAAGGGGCGGGCGGGGGGCATAGGGAAGGGTAAGAGTTGGGGAGGAGTGGCTAAGCTGATTCCGAGACACCTCTCACCCCCACCCCGGTAGCAGATCTTCCTCCCCCTTTCCATAATCGGCTCAGCCTGGTCCCACTGACCTCCACCTCCCCCCACAGCTGAGTCTCTGGCACCTGGGTTTGTGTGGGTGGGGATGGGAATCCAATCTCCCTTCCCCTCCATCTGGCCTGGAGGACAAAGGGCAGGGGGACCATCTGGTCCCGCCAGAGTGGGGGAAGGGCCCATCGTGGCGGTCCCAAGGGGGCGGGGGAGGAGCGGCGCTCTGGAGGCAGCAAGAGCCTGCGGGGTCTAATTGCATCACTTTATTTCACCGACCTCCACTCAGTCTCCCCGCCCCTCAAAGCTCAGAGCAGGAAACAAGCCTGGCTGCGATAGCAGGGGAAAGGGGGAGCACCCAGAAGGAGAAAAGCAGGGAGAACTAGAGGAGCCCTCTCCTTTTGGGGGCAATTTTGGGCTAGGACCAATGAATCCCATGGGTTAGTGGAGTCCAGGGCTGGTCACACCTCAAGCCTGGCAGAGGGTCTCTTGCAAGGGCTGACCCTGAGCTCCCCACCACCCCAGACAGTGCAGTGCTGAACTGTTGGGGGCGTGGTGCCTGTTCAAGTGCTTGTATGGAGGCACGTGTGCGCGTGTGTGTGCATGCACGGCTGCACATGGGAATGTGCATGTCTGTCCAGAGCAGTGTGGTTGTTCCCAAGTGAAGGGTCATATTTGGGAACGTGGGTGGCTGGCTCTAAATGTTGAGCATGCATGTGGGCACGTATGTATCCGTAGGCTAAGCCTTTGGGGAGGTAACTGGCCTACAGGGCAGCAGGAGGAGGTTGCAGAGGGGTAGGCTGGCCAGAGCAGAGGAAGGCGGGAAAGCTGAGCAGGAAAGCCCGTAAGAGAAGCTCATCTAATAGATTACCCTCCACCAGATTATGGTCCTTGATTCCCGAGGTCTTTTCTCTTGGTTTCATCTCCTCAGACTGTCACTGCAAGAGAAAGAGGAAAGGAGAAAGGCAGACCCCAACAGACAAGAACCCAGAGGACAGAAAGACAGACACACACACCTGTTGCATGTGCGTGAGTCAGGGCCCATGGAGGAGGAGAGAGAGAGAGCCCAAGGCAGGCAGGCGGCCCACCCCCGGAGCAGGGCTGGGCCTCATGCCAGGCCCTGCAGGAAGTCCAGCAGCCCTGCATGCCATTCCTCAGGCTTGTCCAGGTAACAGGAGTGCCCTGCCCCCACCATGACCAGGGTCCGGTGGTTGGGCAGCTGCTTCAGGTGCTCAAAGCTGGTCTGGCCCATGGGGTCCTGGTCTCCATATACAATCAGAGCCGGAGTCTGAGAGAAAGGAAAGGGGGGGCAGAGTCAATAGGGACCTGCCACACCAACCCCAGCCTCCTGGAGGTCAGCTCCAGCCCTCCCTACCTCTTCAGTCTCTCCCGAGGTCTCCCCAAATGAGGATAGACGAGTTAGCCCAGAGGGTGGGGGACGAAGCCTCAGCTCCCAAGGGACAGGGTGGTGGATTTGTGTCTGCCCCAACACACAGCTTAGAACAGGAATTTGCGGCTAACTGAAGCAAAAGGGTGGACTTTGGTGGTTCAGCTCCTCCCTGAAACGCCCCCCCCCCCGCCGCCCCCTTGGCTACCCAGCCCCTAAGATGGACCCTTCCTTGCTCCTGCAGGTGCGTCTCAGCCTTCCACATAGGGGTACCTTCACACTGGCATAGTCAGCAGCTTTGATTTTGTCAGTGCAGATGGGGGCCACAGGTACGTAGCCCCGGAGCTGGGAGCCAGGGGCCGTGAGGAAGGGCAGGGAGTACATGCCACTCAACGATGGGCTGATTACAACCGGGGGGTCCAGCTCCAAGGCATCCACCACAGCAGACAGGAAGCTGCCAGGGGCGAGCTCCCCGATAGGAGCAGGGGCCACTGCTTCCTTGGAGTGCCCCAGGCCTGCAGGGATTTGGGTGGGGGAAAGACAAGGGCAGTGATCCAGAAGAAAAAAAGGGAGAGGGTCCCCTCCCCTAGAAAGCCCTCCTCAGTCACTCCCTCTGTGCCCGGATCCTGCAACGCCCGGAATGCCTGAGTTTATTCCTACAGTGGCCTAGATCTGTCATATCTGTGACGAGTGTGAAGCATTTCCCTCCACATCTGGGCTTGTCTCCGCTAGCAGTACAGAGTCCTGGAAGAATCAGGTTCTGAAGTCTGAAAGGGCTGGGTCCAAATCCAAATCTCCATTTACTATGTGACCTTCAGATCAGCTCTCTCTCTGTTCCTCAGTTTCCCCATCTGTTAAAAGGGGATAATAAAAGTACCTGCCACTTAAGATGGAGCCCTGGTGGCACAGTAGTTAAGTGATACACGGCTGCTATACAAAAGGCCAGCAGTTCAAATCCACCAACTGCTCCTTGGAAACCCCATGGGGCAGTTCTACGCTGTCCTCTAGGGTCGTTATGGATCGGAATCCACTCGATGGCAACCAGTCTGGGTTTTTCTGGGACCACTTAAGATGGCTGTGAAAATTAAGACAGTTAACTAAGAGGCAACGGGTGCTGAACTGGAGCCCGGGTGGTGCAATGGTTAAGAGCTAGGGCTGCTAACCAAGAGGTCAGCAGTTCAAATCCACCAGTCGCTCCTTGGAAACGCTATGGGGCAGTTCTACCCTGTCCTATAGGGTCAGCATTTGTCGGAATCAACTCACAGCAGCGGGTTTGGGTTTTCTTTTTTTTTTTGGTGCTGAACTGGCTCCAGGTGGGTGCCTCAAGGATGGGGGCAGGGGTTGACTCTGCACACGCACCTCCCCCTCCAATTAGTCAGTGCCTGCCTTCCCCAGCATGACTGGATCAAGACCTTCACCCTGAAGGTCAGCCCAGCTGACTATGTGAACCAATCAGGTGAGGGCTGGAGACCCGCCCTCGGGTCCTAAAATCATACCAGCCGTAGCCCACAGAGGGGATTAGGTGAGTCAGGCTGCCCCTTCTATACTTAGCCCCATGGGCTCGGGTCTGCTGGTTGTGACCATCAGTCTCGGTGCCGCCCCCATCTGTCCAGAGCTCAGGACTTTGCAAGTGGGATCATGGCTGGGGCCTAGCCACCCACCAGGCCCTGTCCTCCCCCCAGGGTGCTGGGACACTCAGTCACAATCCCCAGGGCTTACAACAGCCTATGATTAGGGCTCTGTCAAAATATTTTACTTCCATTTGCTGCGCAAGGATTATTATGTATCAAGTACTGGCCATATACTCACATGGATTATCTCATTCCATTCCATTCTCACTAGGACCAGCCCTGAAAATGAGTGTGGTGATCTCCCATTACAGCTGAGGACGTGGAGGTTCAGAGTCATTGCCTGGCGTCACAGTGAAGAGCAGCCGGGCAGTGTCCCGACAATGTTAGGCTAAAGCTGGAGAGGCTCAAAGGCCCTTGCAGGGTGTACCATGTTCTACCAAGGTGACAGCCCAGCCTGGCTGGGTTTTACCAGTCCTGAAGCTCCTGGTCACCACACACAGTGATCTGGATCCCAGCTAAGGCCCTCCAACCCCTCCAACCCCTGTCCAGAAGCCCACTCAAGGAAGTACCTGGCAGGTCAATGGCCACAGCCCGGTAGCCAGCCTGGGCCAGCTTGTACAGAGTGCCCAAGTTCTGCCAGGTCTCAGAGGAGAAGCGGATGCCATGCAGCAGCAGCACAGAGAAGCGGGCGGCCTGCCCACCACGTGGTAGCGCCTCCCGGAAGAAGAGGTTCTGGCCCTGTACCTGGATGCTGCCTTCACGTTGCTCCACGCCCGCCATGCCTGCCGCTGCTGTGCTGGTGAAGCGCCTGCGGTTGGTTCAAGGCCAAGCTGGTGAGGGGGAGGGTCCACATAGGGCCACATAACATCCCTCTAGGGTGGGGTGGGCAGACTACCCCTGAGAGGGCAGGGTGTGAATCTCAGCAGGAAGCAGCAAGGAGGCCTCCAGGATATGTCCCAGAACTCTTATGTTTTGGGGTCAGGACGATGTAGGTGCTATTTCTGCCTCTGCCACTCAATTGTGTGACACTGGGCCTCAGTTTCTTCATCGAAAATATGGGGACAATAAAGCTTACATCAAGAATTAAGAATGAGGGCTACTGCCTGGAGTAAGAACTCAATACATGGCGCTCCCATTACGATTATTGTTCTTACTGTTATCCTTTTCTGGAAATCGGGATAATATAGTACTTAGCTCATAGGGGGTTGATAGGATTAAATGAGGCTACGCATGTAAAACACTGGGCACCATGCCTAAAAACAAACCAGCCAACCAAACCCGTTGCCGTCGAGTCGATTCCGACTCAGAGCGACGCTACAGGACAGAGTAGAACCGCCCCATAGGGTTTCCAAAGATCCGCTGGTGGATTTGAACGCGTAACTACTGCGCCACCGGGGCTCCATGCCTCGCACTTAGTAAATGCTCAATCAACGGCAGGTGGCTGACTATTTTGCTTGTCAACCTCATCCTCCCCAAGGCACTGTTACTGGTGTGGGCTGGCACCGCAGCCTGGAGGGGGCCCGAGCTGGGACGAAACGCCCATTCTTCAGGAGCGGAAGCCAGAGAGCCGAGCCAAGAAAGGCTTTAGAGTTCCGGCCTGCAATGGACGGGGTGCTCAGCGCGCTGCCCGCCGGAGCCCAACGCGCTGACCGCGGCACAGTAGCGGCCGCTCCGTCCCCTCCGCAGACCTCGGTTCCGGCTCGCCAGGCCTGGTAGGGTGCACGGGTGAGGGTGAAGACACCCCCGGGGGAGGGAACCTGGACAGCCGAGATGGGAAGGGGTGAGATTTGGGGTAGGTGGGGTGGGTGCTGACTGGAGAGAGAAAGAGAAGATTGAGGGAGCAAGGCTGGTACCTGGGGAGCTGCGTGGGCTCGCGCAAACCGGAGGCGGCCGAGTGCCGGACGATTCGCGCCGGGGGCGGAGAAGCACGGAAGGGGCTGGGGCGGGGGCAGGGGCCAAGTCGTGCACCGGGGTGCCCTCTGGTGGCTATCAGCCGCCACAGGGCCGGTCGGCGCAGCTTGACCCCTCACCTTTCCTCTGACTGCAGCCTGTTTCCCCACAGCCCTCGGCCCCATGTTTCCCAAGCAAGGGACTGGGCTCAGCCCTGAGGCTCTCAGCGACCTGCCCCATATGCACCTAACGCGGCTTGAGGAGAAGGGTTGTTTTGGGGCCGCACTGCTGCTCCTCTAACCACATCCCTGCTGCTCCTTCCCACCCCTCCTCCTCCCCCCCAGCTAGGACGACCCAGGCCCAGAGTTGTCATTGGGCCTGGAGTGCGAGGCTCCGCCAATGAGAAGCCAGGTGACCTTGAACCCTTTTCCAACGCCTCCAAAGCTGTTTCCTCGCCTGTAGAGCGGGCAAGATGTTCCCCACCTCGCAGGATGCCGATGAGTAGTGGACTCGGAGCGCCCCCCGCAGCCTCCTTGTGCCTGGCCTGGGCCCCACGCGGAGCCCCCAGGCTGAGGGCAGACATCGCCTGTCCACTGGGATAGGTGATGAGATGTGAAGAAGCCTGGAGGCCATCCCAGGCCTGACCGGGTGTGTGTGTAGGCGTCAGGGAAGTGGTTTGGGCCGAGACCTGGAGCTGCTGCACAGCACAAAAATATCTGGCAGTTATGCAGCGAGGCATCCGCGCCAGATACTGTTCTAAGGCTTGACCGGTTCTTAGAAAGTCCTTACGACAACCCTATGCAATGGGTCTCACACTTAACCGCATTGTACAGACGAAAGAAGTGACACTTCCGAATAGTAAGTGGTAAGTGCGAGGGTGAAAACGTTCTGGTGGGAAGAAGCCCGATGTAATTCTGCGCCCACTCTCAGTCCAAGAACCATTTGGAAAATCTGGACGGGGGCGGGCCTCCGTACTTTGAGGTTACTTGGTAACTAGGCTCGGGGCCTGCGATTGCCGACTGCGCAGGCGCGCCTCCGTGCCCCCCCCCCCCCCCACCGCCCCGAGCTTGGCGGCGTCCTGCCCGCGCCGCCCGCAGAGCGGCAGAGGCAGCACCATGGTCGCGGCGCTGTTTGGCTGCTGGTTCCGCGTGGGCGGGGCTCGCTCGGCGATGGCAGGCCGGGTCATCCCGGTCGGTCCGGTGAGTGTCCCCGGGAGGGAGGCCGGCAGGGTGCCCGGAGGAGGGACATCCTTGCCCCGCCCCTTGCCCCTTGCCCCTGGCGCCCTGGGGCAGAGTCCCGCGGGAGGGGCCTGCGCTGTTCCGGCGAGTGAGCGTGTGTTCGTGTGTTGTGTCTGCGAGTGCTTTTGGGTGTCTGCGTGTACGTGTCTGTGTGTTTCTGTGTGCTTGTGTTAAGGAGATGTGTTCGTCCGTCTGTCTGCCAGCGTATCTGTGTATGTGTATTTCTGTGTGCGTGTGATTTTGAAGGTGTGTGTGTATCTACCAGTATCTGTATTTCTGAGGGTCTTTCTGCTTTTGCCTGCCTTTTCTATGCATGCGTGTGTAATTTGAGGGTTGTGTGTATGCCTGTGTCTGAGTATATCTGCGAGTCGGTGTGTGATTTTGAAAGTGTGTCCGTTTTTCTGTCTTCCTGATGCCTGACGCTGTGTGTGCGCACACACACGTGTGTGATTTTTGACGGTGTGTATGTGCAAGGGATCCATTGCATCCAGGTCAGTGTGTGTGCATGGAGTCTGCATGTATATGTAGGGAATAGCTTGTGCAAAAGAAAAGTGTGAGTGCAGACTCAATGTTTCTGTGTGCCTGTGTACCCCTACCTGTATGTGATTGTCGACGCGTGTACGCGTGTACGCGTGTACCTAGGACCTTGCCCGGGCACGGGTCTATAGTGCAGATGGGGCTGCCAAGTGGGGAGGACATCGCTGTCTAGTGTGGCCGCGGCCTGGCCAAAGCCTGCGACAGGAGCTGAGACAACCCTGGCTGGGAGAGGTTCAGCGCGGATGCCTGGTGGGAACTTGGGTTAATGCCATTGGAAGTGTGTGTCCCAGGCTCTTCTTCCTTGCCGCTCCTGGTTCTCCATCAGCATCAGAGGGGCTGCTACTGCCCATGCACCGCCTGACCCAGGAGCCTGGGGGTGGCAGCTGAGAAACATCCCCAAAGTGTCCGGGGAAGTGGGTAGGGACTGAGATGGTGATTCTCTAGTCTCTAGCGCTTAGATAGGGGCTGGCACCCAGTTGGCACTTCAATAAAGATGCGTTTACCAGAATCCAGGAACAAGGCAGGAGTCGTCATCCTAGGCCCAAGAAATGATGACAGCGATAACCCTGAGGTCAAGTCCACTGACTTATTGAAATCTCATAGAAGACTTGAGAGCAGCCACGGATTACCCTTCTCCCCATTTTACTGACAAACTGAAGACATATGGCCAGGAAGTGGCAGAGCCATGTCTCAAAGCCAGGGCTCCCTATCCTGTCTGGGTCCTGGGTCCTGAGGTCTGTCCTCTGAATTGGCAAAAGACCCAGGACTGGAGGACTCTGTGAAGCAGGTCATTTGGCATGAAGCTGCGGGGGAGGGAGGTGTTGGGGGCTTCTTGCTCCAGCTTTGCTGCTGCTCTTTCCATTTCTCCCTGTACTATGCCCCCCTGGCCCCACACCCCCTCATGCCTCAGCATTTCCTTCATCCACCATTCTCCGTCAGCCCCCTCCCACTAAATAATATCTAGGGGAGAGCATTACATATTAGGAAACAAACCAGCCAAACCCCTTGCTGTCGAGTCAGTTCCAATTCATAGCGACCCTATAGGGCAGGGTAGAACTGCCCCATAGGGTTTCCAAGGAGTGGCTAGTGGATTCGAAGTGCCAACCTTTTGGTTAGAAGCTGTAGCTCTTAACCACTGCGCCCCCAGGGCTCCTTTCTCCATGGATTGTAAAACACATTCGGATTTTAGCAGGATGATATTTTACAGTGTGATTAAAAAAGAACCATTTCCAAACATTCCCTCTGGGCAGGGGGTGTCCCCTTTGCACACAGTCTTTGACAGCACTCACCACTCTGTTCACCAGCAAGGCTCCAGGTTGTCCGTCACATGCCAGCCTCTGGGTTCCTCCTTGGCAAGCAGAGTCTCCACTTGGGGCAAGCGAATCTGCCTCTTTGTGCCTCAGTTTCCTCATCTGTAACAGACATATCATATCTGCTTCCCAGTGCTCCTGTGACGATTTGTGAGTCCTTGTATGAGAAAGGCCAAACACAGGGCCTGACCCTCATAAGCACTCGATGAACGGAAGTGGCTTTAGCTGGCACAGGGATGATGGTGGGCGGTGAGCACGCCGTGTGCCGGGGGACATCTCAGATGCACCTTCTCCCTGTGGGGCATCTGAGCCCGTCCCTGGCATGCGGAGGGTGAACCCCTAGACTCTTGCCCAGAGCAGGGGAAGGGGCCAGGACTGGAGCTCTGCCTCTGCTGGGTACCTTTATATGGGGCTTTGGGGTGGGGCCCAGGGGGCCTTGTGGGCGCTCAGCCCCAGCCTCTTCTCCCTCTCCTCTCTTCCTCCAGACTGTGGTACAAACCTCCATGAGCCGGTCCCACGTGGCCCTGCTGGGCCTGGGCCTGCTGCTCATGCTGCTGCTGTATGTGGGGCTGCCGGGTCCCCCTGAGCAGACCTCCTGGCTCGGGGGAGACCCCAATGTCACAATCCTGGCTGGTCTCACCCCTGGCAACTCCCCCATCTTTTACCGTGAGGTGCTTCCGCTCCATCGGGCACACAGGTAGGTGCTGACCCCAGGGTGCAGTGGAGGGACTGGTGCCTATATGGGACTCCAGCTCGACTCAGGGTACTCAGGGCCTGGGAGGGAGAAGCCTCTGATGGAGGAAGGGTGGTCTGCCCCAGGCCCTTGGGACACATTCCTGTCTGCCTGCAGGGTGGAGGTGGTGCTGCTCCATGGAAAGGCCTTTAACTCCCACACGTGGGAGCAGCTGGGCACCCTGCAGCTGCTGTCACAGAGGGGTTACCGGGCTGTGGCCCTTGACCTCCCAGGTAAGAGCCCCCACCCTTGAGCCCAGGGAGGGAGGGTGCCACAGGAACAAGGGGTCAGCTTCCCAGATGGGGGAACTGGAGGGGTACGAAAAGCCCTCAGGCATGGTGAGAGGAGAGGGGCATCTGGGTCCCACTGTCTGGATAAGCAGTGGCAGGTCACAATGCAAGATGACACCAAGAAAAGTTCTGTGATTTGGGTTTTTTGTTGTTTTTTTTTTTAAATTGTGGTGGAATAAATACAAGATTTGCCAATTCAATTTCTACATGTATAATTCAGTGACATTGATTCCATCCTTCCAGGTTGTGCAGCCATTCTCAATATCCTTTTGCAAATCATTCCACCACTGTTAACATAAACTCGCAATCCCCCAAGCAAAAACTCCCCCTCCCCCCTTCCTCCCACCCCCCTGGTAACCACTAATAATCTTTGGTTTCTATATATTTGCTTATTTCACATAAGTGAGATTATGTAGTATTTGTTCTGTTGGGGCTGACGTATTTCACTCAGTATAATGTTTTCAAGGTTCATCCAGGACTTCAGTTCTCTTTCTGGCTGAGTAGTGTTCCGTTGTGTGTATGGACCACGTTGTGTTCATCCAGTCATCTGTTGATGGACTTTTCAGTTGCTCCCACCTTTCGGCTATCGTGAAAAGTCCCGTAGTGAACATTGGTGTACAGGTTTCTGTTTGCGTTCCTGCTTTCTCTTCTTGGCATATACCTAGGATTGGGATTGCTGGGTCATATGGTACTTCTGTGTTCAACTTTTTGAGGAACCGCCAAACTTTTGTCTACAGCAGCTGTACCATTTTACATTTCCACTAGCGATGAGTGAGGATTTCCAGTTTCTCCACGACTTCATCAACACCTGTTTTCTGTTTTTTTGATCACTTCCATTCATGGGGGTGAGGCAGTATATCATTTGTGGTTTTGATTTGCATCTCCTTAATGGGTAATGACGTGTGTTTGTTGGCCCTTTGAATATCCTCTCTGGTGAAATGTCCGTTCAAATCCTTTGCCCTTCTTTTTTTTTTTTTTTTAAATAATATTCTTTTTGAGTTTTTGGTGAAAGTTTACACAGCAAGTTAGGTTCCCATTTGAAAATTTCCACCCAAGTTGTTCAGTGACCTTAGTTACATTTATCACAATGTGTCAACATTCTCTTTGTGTTCTGGTTGTTGCTTTTCCAGTACTCTTGAGTTTCCCTGCCCCCTTATCTTCTCATCTTTGCTTTTGAGAAATCGTTGACCTTTTGGTCTCATACTGATGGTTTTTAAATAGGGCACCGATCTTAAGCGTAATATCCTTTATTTTGTGTGCCACTCTGCTATTTCACTAAAAGGTGATCTCGGGATAGACTCGTTTCTAGGTTTAAAGAGTGTCTCAGGGTGATAGTTTCAGGGTGTCCTCTGTTTTTTACTGTTCCAATTTGGCTTTTTTTTTTAAATATATAAGAATTTAAGTTCTTCATATTTTTCTCCCATTCTGTTTGGGACCAACTATTGTGGCCCCGGTCAGAACAGTCAGTGATGGTAGCTGGGGACCGTCTAGTTCTTCTTGTCTCAGGATTGATGAAGCTGTGGAGCTTGTAGACATGTTTCTTTGTGCATTTGGTTACCTTCTTGCTTTTTTGCTCCTAGTGTTTCATGACCGTAGCTGTGTCTTAGAGGGCCGCTTTTGCCCATTTTTTGATTGGGTTGTTTGTCTTTTTTTTGTTAAGCTGAAGAAGGTTTTTATATACTGTGGATATTAGACCCTTATCAGGTATATGGTTCCCAAAAATTTTCTCCCAGTCTGTAGGTTGTCTTTTCACTTTGTTGATAAAGACTTGATGAACGAAAGTGTTTACTTTTTATACAGCTACATTTATCTAGTTTGTCTTTTGCTGCTTGTGCTTTTACTGTCATGAAAAGGTCTGTGTTTTTATTTTCGACCTTGAAAGCTACAGTGTGGATTCTTGCGCGTCACAGAGCAAATAGAAATGTGATTCACTTCACAAGAGATTGCATGGGTGGATCTCACTGTACTTTTTGTGACAAGCCTTGTAGCTTTTTATTTTTATTTTTTTAAATGTGGAAGAAATTATACAGATTTTTCTTTATTTTATTGTGCTTTACGTGAAAGTTTACAGCTCAAGTTAGTTTCTCACACATTTATACACACATTGTTATGTGACCCTAGTTGCTATCCCTGTAATGTGACGGCACACTCCTCCTTTCCTCCCCAGATTTCCCGTGTCCATTCAACCAGCTTCTGTCCCTTTCTGCCTTCTCATCTCCCCTCCGGACAGGAGCCGCCCATTTAGTCAGGTGTATCTACTTGAACTAAGAAGCACACTCTTCACGAGTATCATTTTATGTTTTATAGTCCAGTCTGTTCTTGGTCTGAAGAGTTGGCTTCGGGAATGTTTTTAGTTCTGTGTTAACAGAGAGCCTGGGGGCCATGTCTTCTCGGGTTCCTCCAGTCTCATCAGACCATTAAGTCTGGTCTTTTTACTAGAATCAGAGTTCTGCACTCCACTTTTTTCCTGTGCCATCAGGGACTCTGTTGTGTTCCCTGTCAGGCCCGCCATTGGTGATAGCCAGGCACCATCTAGTTCTTCTGGTCTCAGGCTGATGGAGTCTCTGGGTTATGTGGCCCCTTTTGTCTCTGGGCTAATATTTTCCTTGTGTCTTTGGTGTTCTTCATTCTTCTTTGCTCCAGGTAGGTCGGGACCAATTGATGCATCCTAGATGGCTGCTCGCTAGCTTTTAAGACCTGAGACACCACTCACCGAAGTAGGATATAGTAGATTTTCTTAATAAACTTTGTTATGCCAGTTGACCTAGATGTCTCTTGAAACCGTGGTCCCCAGACTGCTGCCTCTGCTACACTGTCCCTCAAAGTGTTTGGTTGTGTTCAGGAAACTTCTAAGCTTTTGGTTTAGTCCAGTGGTGCTGACTTCCCCTGTATTTTGTGTAGTCCTTCCCTTCACCTAAGATAATTCTTGTCTACTATCTGGTTAGTGAATTCCCCTCTCCCTTCCTCTCTACCCTCGTAACCATCAAAGAATGTTTTCTTCTGTGTTTAAACCTTTTTTTGAGTTCTTGTAATAGTGGTCTCATACAAAATTTGTCCTTTTGAAGTTGACTAATTTCATTCAGCATAATGCCTTCCAGATTCATCTGTGTTATGTTTCGCGGATTCATCGTTGTTCTTTATTGTTGCATAGTATTCCATTGTGTGAATATACCATAATTTGTTTATCCATTCATCTGTTGATGGGCAATTGGTTGTTTCCATCTTTTTGCTGTCATGAACAGTGCTGCAGTGAACATTGGTGTGCATATATCTATTTGTGTGACGGGTCTTATTTCTCTAGGATTTATTCCAAGGAGTGGGATTGCTGGATTGTATGGTACTTCTATTATTTCTAGCTTTTTTAAGGAAGCACCAAATCAATTTCCAAAGTGGTTGTACCATTTTACATTCCCACCAACAGTGTATATAAGTGTTCCGGTCTCTCCACAACCTCTCCAGCATTTATTATTTTGTGTTTTTTTGATTAATGCTAGCCTTGTTGGGGTGAGACGGTATCTCATTGTAGTTTTGATTTGCATTTCTCTAATGGCTAATGATCGTGAGCGTTTCCTCGCGTCTGTTAGCCGCCTGAATGTCTTCTTTGGTGAAGTGTCTGTTCATATCCTTTGCCCATTTTTTCATTGGGTTATTTGTCTTTTTGTGGTTGAAGTTTTGCAGTATCTTGTAGATTTTAGAGATTAGACCCTGATCAGATATGTCATAGCCAAAAATTTTTTCCCAGTGTGTAGATGGTCTTTTGACTCTTTTGGTGAAGTCTTTTGATGAGCATAAGCATTTGATGTTTAGGAGCTCCCGGTTACCGAGTTGCTCTTCTGGTGTTTGTGCATTGTTAGTTATGTTTTGTATTCTGTTTATGCCCTGTATTAGGGCTCCTAGCATTGTCCCTATTTTTTTCTTCCAGGATCTTTATTGTTTTAGATTTTATGTTTAGGTCTTTGATCCATTTTGAGTTAGTTTTTGTACATGGTGTGAGGTATGGGTCTTGTTTCATTTTTTTGCAGATGGATATCCAGTTATGCCAGCACTGTTTGTTAAAGAAACTGTCTTTTCCCCATTTAATGGACTTTGGGCCTTTGTAAAATATCAGCTGCTCATAGGTGGTTGAATTTACATCTGGATTCTCAATTCTGTTCTGTTGGTCTATGTTATCTGTTGTTGTACCACTACCAGGCTGTGTTGACTACCGTGGCAGTATAATAATTGGTTCTAAAATCAGGTAGTGTGAGGCCTCCCACTTTGTTCTTCTTCAGTAATGCTTTACTTATCTGGGGCCTCAAGCTTTTTATTTTTTTAACTACACCAATGATTCATGCTGACATTGTTGTCATTAACAGATAATGTCATTTAAAAATCAAACAGCTTCAAAGCCCCCAGAGACTCACACCACATTAATCTCCCTCTCACCTCTCTAAGCAGTTTGGGAGGCTCCCAGACCCGCTTCTGGGCATCTTCACACACAGAGATACAGACAGTATAAAGGATTGTAGTGGGGGTTGTAAACATGATTGGTGTCCTGTTAAGCAAATCCATCTGCAGCGTGGTTTTCTTCCCCTACCCCATGTCTCGTGGATCGTGCCAGTCCCTACAAACGTCCGTCTCTCTCATGAACTCTGCAGCGTGTGCCATAGGAGGGAGGGACAGGCTTTATCTGGCCATTCCTCAACTGGTGGCTATGGAGGTTGTTTTAGAGTTTTCAGTGTTAGTTGAAATGCTCGGGTGACATGCCAGAAGCATCTTTGGCCGTGCTTCTTTGAGTACATGAGCAAGAATTTGTCTAGGTGAGAGCATCTTTAAACCTTAAACCAAAAATATCCCCTGAAGTCTTCATTAAACCAAACCATAGTTTAGGTTAATTAGTAAAGAATGTCTGCCTTGAGCATCGTGCTTTTTAAAAGAACTCTCTATATGGAATCAAATTGACAATTGCAACTTGAAATGTTAGATAGGAAGCTTAGGGAGCAGTGATTTATGTTAATGGGGGAGGAACAGTTTGGAAATGGAGGGTGAGAATGGTTGCACGACTTGAAGAATATGATCAGTGTCACTGCATTGTACATGTAGAAGTCGTTAAATTGGTGTACGTTCTGCTGTGTATATTTTCAACAGCAACAACAAAAATAAACACACTAATAACTAGGAAGAGAATTGGAACTGTAATAACAAGTGGTATTAGCTAGTCTTCACCTGCATATATTGAATATAAGTAAATAACAAAAACCTAAAACTGTTATCAATAAACACTATAAAATCAGAAAGAAAGAAAAAAAGAATTTATCTAGGGTAGCTACAAAGGACAATTGATAGTTCAAAGGACATACCTTTTTTTTTTTTTTGTATTTTTAAAAATTTATTGTGGTTATATATATAACAAAATTTTCCATTTTAACCATTTTAAGTGTAAAATTCAGTAACATTAATTATATTCACAGTGTTGTACAACTATCACCATTTATTTCCAAAACTTTTTCATACTCCAAAACAGAAACTTTGTACCCATTAAGCAATAATGCCTTATTCTCCCTTCCCCTTAACCCCTACTAACCACTAATCTACTTTATGCTCTGTGTGTTTTGCCTGTGCTATATATTTCACATAAGTGGGATCATATAATATTTGAAGGACACTCATTTTTAAATATTGGCAAATATTACCTTACCCTTCAAAAAGGCTGTACAGATTTCTCCCATCAGTGATGTATGAAAATGCCCATTTCCCCACATCTTCCCCAGCACTGGGTATTATTAGTCTTGTTAGTTTTGCCAGTATGATGAATGAAAGATATGTTTTTCTAGCAGACATAATACATTAGAAAAAATAGCTTCTGGGAAGTTTGGGGTAGCATATGCCATATGCCACTCTTCCCAACCTCTCTCTCTTGCTGTGGTGGGCAGGAAGTCCTGGGCCCCTTCCCAGCCTCCCTCAGCTGGTGCCTGCTGCTATCCCCAGGTTTTGGGAACTCAGCACCTTCGGCAGAGGCCAGCACAGAGGCGGGGCGGGCGGAGCTGCTGCAGCGGGTGCTGCAGGACCTGGAGGTACACAATGCCGTGTTGGTGAGCCCCTCACTGAGTGGCCACTATGCCCTGCCTTTCCTGATGCGAGCTCACCACCAGCTGCGTGGATTTGTGCCCATTGCGCCTGCCTCTACCCAGAACTATACCCAGGAACAGTTCTGGGCAGTGAAGGTACGGGGAAGAAGATCCCCAAAGGTCCTGGCTCCCTGTCCCTGGCTTGGGTCATGAGGGGGCAAGGCTCGGGTCTCACTTGGAGGAGACACAGCTCCATCACTGATCTTGGATGGAAGAGGCGGGTGTTTGGAGACAGCTTCCCGAGAAGGTGGCTTGGGGGTCAGGCCCCTATCAGGCCCCAGAGTCACAGCCCCTTGTCCCACCCTGCAGACCCCAACCCTCATCCTGTATGGGGAACTGGACCGCATCCTGGCACGGGAGTCACTGCAACAGCTCCGCCACCTGCCCAATCACTCTGTGGTGAAGCTGCGTGACGCAGGCCATGCCTGCTACCTCCACAAGCCACAAGACTTCCACCTCGTCCTCCTTGCCTTCCTTGACCACCTGCCTTGAACTCACCAACTGCCTGGGCCCCAGGCAGGGCCTGAGCTTGGAGGATCTGGGCCAGCCCCCAACCAAAGATGCAGGCAACTCCTGAGATTGGAGGCCAGAGGCCAGAGTGCCAGCCCCAGTCAGGACCTCTCATTTCATCTCACTGGCACAATAAAAAAAGCATATTTGTCTTGCCTGGGGAGTGATAGGTCCTGTTTCCTGGTATGCCGCGGGTAGGGTGGGACTGGGAGGCAAGTCTGGCATTGCTTGTGGCTGGGGACTGGATAAGTTGCTCCAGCTACCTAGGAGACTAAGATCATGGGCCACTTCTTAGCTGTGTGCCCTCACCACTGTGCCTCAGTTTCTTCATCTATAAAATGGGCATGATGGTAACACATAGGTCAGAGGGTGGTTATAAGATTGAATGAGACTGGGTGAGTGAAGCACTTGCCCATACAGGGCTGGGGGGTTTGGGTGGGGTTTACAGATGCAGACTGGCTACTGGGAATGGTGGGAAATACTGGGTCTGGTCAGCTGAGCTGAGTGAGTCAGGAATGCAGGACCTTTGGCTGAAGGGAGCAGGGCATGTAGAGGCAGGGATAGGGACATGGCTTAAGAATTAACAGCATTGTCAATGAACCACCAAGCCTGCTTGCCCGCCGGGTGTGGGTGGGTGAGCAGCCCAGACATAGATCCCAGGAGGGTTGGGATGGGCCCCTTTTCAACCCTCACAGCCTGCCTCCTCTGGGCCCAGAGGTTGAAGTCCTCGACCCCCACCCCTCCCCAAGCTGACTCAGCCCCTACAGCAAAGGGCAGAACTGGCTGGGGGTACAAAGGGCAGCCAGACTCACAGGTGGGTGCCAGCAGAACACCTCCAAACTGTGTCTCTGCCCCTCCTCGGGTGGCTACTGCAGAGCCAGAAAGCCGGGCACAGGTTCAGCCAGAGTGCGCTGCGCCACGTGTGCTTTTATGCTGTTTCCCCACCTGTCACACACGCTCATACAGCGCCACGACGACGTCCTCTCACCGTGACATTCCCTGTCACACAGGCACTGGCACACCTACCCACCCATCGCCTCACACATTGCCACATACGGGGTCTTACCCACTGATACGTAGTTTGTCCACACAGTGACACGTTCACATGAGCATACACATAGGCACACATGCTCCCATCCGTCCATTTATTCTTCATTCCTTGCACGCTGTCCGGGCGCCAGCATTGTGCCAGGCTGAGGTGGGAAGCCTGTGGGTACATGGACCTGCCTCCTGGAGCTTAGTCCTGAAGAGACAGACGTCAATAAATAACCTCACCTCAAAGGGGGCTGAGGGGAGCGGTAGGAGATCGTCGGAGGGAGGGGAGCAGGCATGGGCTGGCTCCGGCAGGGCTTTGCAGCGCTGGACCCTGAGGGCAAGAGGGCGCCCAAGGGGCCGGCCGCGACTTCTAGCGTCAGCGCCCGCCCTCCTCTCCATCGGCCCAATACCGAGGCTGAAGGGGGAGGAGCCTTCCAGGGGCGGGGCCAGCCCAGAGCACGTAGCCGGGCGCGGGGAGGAGCTGGCCGCGGAGGCGCAGCTGAATGACGGGTTTGGGGAGTCTGAGCCTTTAGTAATCCCCTAGGCGGCCCGAACCTGGGGCGGGCGGGGTCCAGAGGCTGGGCTCCCGCGCAGACGCGGCCTCTGGGTCTGGAACAGCCTTTGCTCTCAATCCTCGTTCTCGCCCCACGCCCTGGTTCCAGCCACATGGTGGGCGGGTCGGGGCGGTTCTGAGCCCGCGACCTCGCAGTACCTTGAGTTCCGGCCACAGTCCGGGGTGGGCCCTCAGAAGCGAGCAAGAGCCCAAGACCAGGACAGAGTGAGGTGGGGGAATCCTGGAGAGAGGCAGAGGGATCTGGGGTTCCCTGGCATAAGAGCCGGGAAATTGGGAGAAATGTTTCGAGGAGGGCGGGGGAATGAACGCCTAGGCTCAAACCTGACTCGGCTACTCTCTAGCTGTCCCTGAACCTCTCTGAGCCTCAGCTTTCTCCTCTGTAGAGTGGGCAGAGGCAGGAACTTCATGGGGCTCTTTGGGGGATTAAATGAGAAAATGGGTTGAAAGTGGTCGGCACGGCGCCTGGAACAGAACGGGTGCTCCGTAACTAGGGGAGACTACAGCTCCTTTTCAGGGTGTTCCCATCCTGTGGGCCGCACGGAAGAACTCGTCCCAGGGAGCGGGCCAGGTGCAGATGGAGCGGGCCTCAGCTGGGAGGGGTCGTTAGTCATTCGGTTTGTCCCCAGCTTTCCACACACAGTGCCATGGCCAGCGAGAGTCCCGAGGGCGAGCACCCGTCCGTGACGCTCTTCCGCCAGTACCTGCGCATCCGCACTGTCCACCCGGAGCCTGATTATGGTGAGAATGTGAAGGTTCCAGGGCCTGCGATGGGGGCCTAACGGGTGGGAACTGTGCTCTAAACCAGCCTCCAACCCCTGTCACCCAGCTGAGCCACAGGGGCTGCCCCAGTGGTCTCCTCAACCCTTCTAGCCACTCCCTAGGTCAGTCTCTCCAGGCAGTGTTCATGAGGAACACTTTCCCCAGAGGCTGTGCTGCTCCAGAAGTTACTCCTGGCAGCTAGTTAAGGAACAACTTCACCTCACTCCCCACTGGGGAGACTGAGGCAGCAACAATGGAAAGAGGCCCCCAAAAGTCTGCTGGGGCTAGACAAAGACCACAGCCGCCATGGGTGGCTGGGAATTTGGTACATGGGTCCAAATGTCTGCTCTGTGATTTCCCAGCTGGGAGACATTGAGGAATCCTTATGTGACTGTGCCCATCTTTAAGGAAGATAATAACACCTGCTTCCAGCCCTTCCACAAAGGGTCACTAAACTGGTTGCCATTGAGTTGGTTCCAACTCATGGCGACCCCATGTGTGCAGAGTAGACCTGCTTCACAGGGTTTTCAAGGCTGGGACCTCTCAAAAGCAAATCACCAGGCCTTTTAGGCCTTTTTCTACTGCAGTACCGCTAGGTGGGTTTGAACCCCAACCTTTAGGTCATCTGCTGAGTGCAAACCATTTGTACCACTAGAGACCTAAGGGACTTATAGGATCACTAGCTGGCCAAAACATCTTCTTCCTTGGGGACAGAAATGCAGGTGTCTCCAAGGAGTGTGGAATCGTGTTGGGGAGGCAGCAGCCTAGCTCTGGGTCTGCACCACTCCCTGGGTGTCCGCCGTCTTCGCTGTGCCTGGGCCGGTGGGAGCTGTGGGTGGGAAGGAGCAGCCCCCAGCCCCTCCAAGACTCTTTGTGCCCGTAGGGGCTGCCGTGGCCTTCCTTGAGGAGAGAGCCTGTCAGCTGGGCCTGGGCTGTCAGAAAGTGGAGGTGAGCATGGGGTCCTGAGTGAGGGGAGGTGGGGCTCTGGTACCTCCTCACCCTGCACTGACCATCCCCTCTCCTTACCCCCTGCAGGTGGCACCTGGCCGTGTGGTGATTGTGCTGACCTGGCCGGGCACCAACCCCACACTCCCCTCCATCTTGCTCAACTCCCACATGGATGTGGTACCTGTCTTCAAGGTGTGGGGGAGGGGGAGGGGGAGGAGGGAGCGTGCACACCCTGGGCACATAGCATTACTCTACTCTGGAGCCTTCATCCAGCAACGATTCATTGCCGTGGGTGGAAGTGGGTGGGAGAAGCAGGGACGGGGTGGCAATTAGCTGCCCTTCTGTCCCCCCCCCGCCACCACCACCCTGCCTGTCCCGCGAACCTGATTGTGGGCTCCTAGGGCAGGGCCGCAGTTGACCAGAGTGCATTAGTGACTAAATTTGGGGCTTGGCCCTTTTCCCATCCCTGCACCCAGGAGCACTGGAGTCATGACCCCTTTGAGGCCTTCAAGGATGCCGAGGGCTACATCTATGGCAGGGGTGCCCAGGACATGAAGTGTGTCAGCATCCAGTGAGTGTCCTTTGTTTCCAGTTCTGCACAATGTCCTTGCCAGCCCGGTGGATTGACGCAAGGCCTGGGGTATGGTCAGAGGACCCCAAGGCCAAGGAACATCTTGACCCTTTACTGTAGACAGGAGTTATTGCTGCGATGATTGCATGGATGGGGACACTGAGAGAGGGGCAGGGACTTCCCAGAGTCCCTTGCCAGGCTGGGGCAGAGCTGAGTCTAGGACCTGGGGCTCCAGTTTGCCAGCCCTGCCTGGCCCTGCTGGCTCCTCCAGCACCTGGCTCTGTGTCCTTTTCACTGCCCTCCCCCCAGGTACCTGGAGGCTGTGAGGAGGCTGAAGGCCGAAGGCCGCCGTTTCCCCAGAACTATCCATATGACCTTTGTGCCAGGTAGGAGTGGCTTAGGGAGGGGCACCAGCTGGGAGGAGGAGAGTGTATTGGGGGCAGCCCCCTCATCTCACAACCCGGCTACCTTTCCAGATGAGGAGATCGGGGGCCACAAAGGCATGGAACTGTTTGTGCAGCGGCCTGAGTTTCAGGCCCTGAGGGCTGGCTTCGCCTTGGATGAGGGTGAGCAGGTTGGCAGGCTGCTAAGCGCTCAGGGAGGAGGTAGGGAGGCTGCTAGTCGAGGCTGGGCCACTCCATCCCTGATTCCCCTTTCCCCCTTCAGGCCTGGCCAGCCCCACCGATGCCTTCAGTGTCTTTTACAGCGAGCGTAACGTTTGGTGTGAGTATGGGCGTCAGGGGGAGGTGGTCACTGTACAGATGGGAGACTAGGTCAGAGAGGGCGAGGGCCTGCCAAGGGTCACACAGCAAGCTGGAGCCAGAGTAGATCTTGAACCCAGGGCCTCTGTCTCCCAGCTCCTTCCTGTGTGGGCTTCTCCTTCCTGTTTCCTTGACCAAGAGCTTCTCCGAGGGCAGGCCCTGACTGCGGGCAGAAGTCAGCTCTTTGCCATGGGCTCTGAGGGGTACAGGGCCCTGCTAGGGGAGCTTGGAACGAGGGGGAGACCTCCAGGGCTGCCCTGCATTTCCAGCCCCTCCCATGCTGAAGATAGCCCCTGCGTCTCCCCAGGGGTACGGATCACATGTTCTGGGAAGCCCGGCCATGGCTCGCGTTTCATTGAGGACACAGCAGCAGAGAAGCTGGTGTGTGGCACACGGGAAGGGAGTTTGGAGGTTTGGGAGGTTCTATCCTGGGACCATTCTCACATCTCATCTCTCACTCTCCCAGCACAAGGTTATAAGCTCGATCTTGGCCTTCCGGGAGAAGGAGAAGCAGAGGTGAGGCAGCCTGGGAAAGGGGGGGCTCTGGGAGGCTGTGTGGGAGAGAAGGGGCTGAGCCACCTTCTACTGTTGTTCCTTGCCCCCGCCCCCCCCAACAGGCTGCAGTCAAATCCCCACCTGAAGCTGGGGGCCGTGACCTCTGTGAATCTGACTAAGCTAGAGGGCGGCGTGGCCTATAACGTGGTACCTGCCACCATGAGCGCCAGTTTTGACTTCCGTGTGGCACCCGATGTGGACTTGAAGGTGCCATCTCCACTTGGGTTTGAAGGAGGGACCCCCGGTCCTCAGTCGCATCCTAGAGGCTCAGGGAGAGGCTCAGGGTCATTTCATCCCCCTTAGGCTTTCGAGGAGCAGCTGCAGGACTGGTGCCAGGCGGCTGGCGATGGGGTCACCTTCGAGTTTGCTCAGGTATCCACTTAGGACCTGGGATAGGGGACTTCTGGAGCTGAGGCTGGGCTCACCACGTGTGTGACTCTGTAGGAGCGCGTGCTTGGTGTGTCTGCAGGCGTCTGGGCATTTCTTTAGCTATGAGAGACACGTTTTATCTACCCAGCAAGCATTAGTTGTGGAGGCCACTGTTGGGTTCTGGGGAGTACTGTGGGGAGGAAAATCAGAAACAGTTCTTTCCCTCATAGTCCTTACAGCCTGAAGTGGGGAGATAGACACACATCAAATACTTACATAAAAGTAGTATTACAAGGAACACACGTGGCCCAGGAAAAGGTGGGACCCCGCACTCTGAGGGCCTATGATTGGGGTATTTGGTCTGAGAGGTCAGAGAGAACCCTCCTGAGGAAGAGGCACTTGGGCTGAGACCTGAAGAATGGACAGGAAATAAGTAGATGGAGGGCGTTGGAAGGTCCCAAGCCTGGCGCCTTTAAGGGACTGGGCTGGACGGGCCCACTAGATGTCTGCGAGGGTGGGTGGGGGTGGGCGGGTGCCCTGTGTCAGGCACAGCCCACCCTGTGAGGAACAGGGCAGGGACATTGCCCCTGTCCTGATCCTGCCATCCTTCCCCTCCCCCTAGAAATGGATGGAGCCCAGAATTACAAGTACTGACAACTCAGACCCCTGGTGGGCAGCATTTAGCGGGGCCTGCAAGGACATGTGAGCACGCTGATCAGCCTGTGCCTTCCCCTCCTCACACGGCCGAGTTCCTGTCTCTCTGTGCCCTGTCACCTTACTTCACTCCTTCGGTTCTTGCTTTGCCTCTTCCTTCTTCCTTGTTCACCCAGCTCTCTCCCCTGCAGGAACCTCACTGTGGAGCCCGAGATCTTCTCTGCTACCACCGACAGCCGCTATATCCGTGCGGTGAGCCCTTGCGAGGCAGTGGGGTGGGCCCTGGGGTGAACCTGGACACAAGCCTTCCCCCTGATGGCTCCTCCTCGCCCCCTGCAGGTGGGGGTCCCGGCCCTGGGCTTCTCGCCCATGAACCGCACGCCTGTGCTGCTGCATGACCATGATGAACGGCTGCATGAGGCCGTGTTCCTCCGTGGGATCGACATATACACCCGCCTGCTGTCTGCCCTAGCCAGCGTGCCTGCCCTGCCCCACGCGACAGCTGAGCCCCATGCTCCCCACCTCTACCCTGGAGCTTCCACCCAGACCAGTGCCAAGGACCCCACTGTCCCCCACCACGCCAATAAAATCTGAGTGTAGGCAGGGGCCGCCTCTAAACCATTAACAGTGAGGACATTCGCTTCTCTGGAGAGATGGTGTTTACCACCCCGTCATAGCTCTGTGCCCCACAACCAGCACTCGCATCTGGTACCACCCAGTCGTGTCTGCCCAGCCACAAGGGCCCACATTGCTGTTGTCAATGGCCATCATGCTTACATCTGACGTGTCAGGGGCACCAAGAAAAGGACCTCAGGGAGCCACCCCTGGCTTTCAGGGGTACATTGGCATCCTGAGTCAAAACGACTGGAACTAGATGTTGGGCATGCAGAGTGACAGCTAACGAGGCATGACGGTTGGCACTTCAAATCCACAGACTGACAGGAAGACGTGTGGCCCCTGCTCTAGTGTTGGGAGCAGGGGGTGACGGGGCAGGGACTCTGGTAGGCCGGGTCAGTGCATCAGGGTTCCTAGCACCCTGGCCAGGGGTCATGAGGCGGTGTGTGCAGAAAGGCCCAGGAGTTGGGCTTCAGCTGGTTGGCCTTACTAGGTCCCCAGGCAGCTGTGGCCCAGGAGCTGATCCTGCTCCTCGAGCTGGTCTGGCCTCATCTGGTCCTGACCTCCATGAGCATGGGGCAGGGAGGGCCAGCAGGGCCGGCTTTTGAAGTTCCTTGTTTTGGTCCGAGGGGAAGTCCTGGGCCTGGATTTGTGGACTGCAGGCTTAGTACTGATAGGACTAATAGTAATCCCCACCCCTGCCCATGGACTTGTAACAAGGAGCCTTCCCTTTCACGGGCTCCATCTTCATTGAACCCCCACACCAGCCTCACATGTAATGCAGGTGCCATTACAAGCCCCATTTGAAGACAGAGCAACTGAAGCTCAGAACAGAAACTTGCCCAAGGTTACACAGGTTGGAGGAGGTGGAGTGGAGATTGAGACTCAAGCATTTGATACCTGGGGACTTGGGCTCCTTCCTTTGCACAGGGCAGGCCTCCTGTGGAAGCTGGAGGAAGCTGAGGGTCATGGCCTTAGGAAAACCTAGTTGAAGCCTCTGACCTTGGGATTGGGGCCTGGCCACACTGGAGCAACTTGAAGGGACCACTCCTCCCTCAGGGCAGAATGACTGGATAAGAGCATGCTCCCTGTCCAAGGTGCCAGCACAGACCTGGCTCTGGAAACCCTTCTCCCTGTAACTGCTGAAGACAGTGAGTCAGGGTACAAAGTTGGCCCTTTCAAGATGCCACCTCCCATCTGACACCACCTGGGGAAGGGCAGTTGGCAACCCACAGTGGGTGCCAGGCTCAGTCAAGAGCTAGCAGGACTGCAGCCTCAGCCTTGGTTGGGCAAATTAAACTTCCTGGGGCCCCACGTCGACTGCCTGGGTTGAATGAACAGGTTTCCTCATCTGTAAAATGAAGGTAATAGAAATAGCTACTTCAGAGGTAATGGGACCATATACACACCAGGGACTGCCTGTCATCCTGCCACCCCTTTTGAGTTTCCAAACTGCCCAAGTTTGGATTATACATCACACAACCATCATACTCAGATTGCTTATGAGGATTAACTGTACCCAGGAACAATGCTCCACCGGGTGCCTCCTACAGGAAGCCTCCACAAATACTTATTACTTCACTACTTGCTCACTGGCTGCTCTGAGCACCAAGACCCTGCAGATGGAGCAGCTGGTCAGGAGGCACAGCACATGACCTGTACAGTATTTCATCAGGGCACATGAGGGTGTCTCCTGGGCTCTGGCCCATTTGTGCCCAGAAGGCAGTGCCACCACTACTCTGCCTTTATGGTCCAAGAGTGGACCCTGGCCAGGTGTACCAGGAACAGCCTAAATCTGGACTGCATTAGGCCAAAGTACAGAAATCTTTAGTAGGGGCCCTTCCAGTTCCTCTGGACATGCTTCAACACCTAACAAGGGCATCTGGGATTTCTTCCTTTTCTCAGCGGCCTGCCCAGCCCAGCCAGCAAGCTGTATGCCCCAGCTCCCCTAAGGCCATTTCTAATTTATTAGGTTCCTCCTCTTGCACTCCAGGGCCATGACTCCCACCCACCCACATCCCACCATCCATTCAGAGGAGAGACTCTTCTCCTCACACAAATGGAGGCACCACTCCTCACCCCCAGCCCCACAGACACAGCAGACTGACAGCAGCTCCTGCCTCAAGGTTTATTTGTACAAATAGCACAGGAGGACACCAGCCCCATGCAGATTGCAGCCCCAGGGGTCACACCAGTCCTTCTGTCCTCAGATGGAGAACTCTACTCCGAAGCCTTTGTGGGGGCCTGGGTACCTTTGGGAGCCTGACCTGGAGCTAGAACTTGAGTGGAAGCCTTGGCCGGAGCTTCGGCCTTACTTTGAGCCTTGGCTTTGGACTTTGGCCGGGAGAGCCTGAGACCCTTGGCAATGCGGGCCCGAGCACGCTTCCCAAGCTTGGGATGGGCGATGTAAGCGAGACGACTGAGCTTGCGGTTGACGCCCCTTGGGATCCTGGGCTTGACCTCTTTGGGCTTTAAGAGAGTTTTGATAGCCTCGGCACGTGCATCCATGGCCTTGGCGTTGTTGGCCTGCATCTTCTTCAGGCCCTTCTTGTTGTGCTTCTTGGCAAAGCGCATGTTTCTCAGGAACTTGGGGTCCACCTGGAAGGCACGAAAGGTACCAGCAGCTGTAACTGCAGTGTGTGGTGCTCCACTCCACAGCGGGGCCCAAGAGAATAGGAGGCCCCAGGCCAAGTCTGCTGGGGACTCAGCATTAAATGCTGCAATATTTCAACCCTTTTAACAGTCAAATGCAAGTGCGGAAGGAAAGAACAAATAATGGCTGCCCCCTCTGCCAGGGCTGCAGGACTCCAACTTCCTACAACAGTGCTTCGGCTGCGTTTTCTTTACAGGGAGGTGTCAGTCACACACTAAGCCTGGTACAACAGGCTGCAACCGATTCACAGCAGAGGAAGCAGAGTGAGAGACCAAGACGGGAAACTGAGACTAAGAAGTTTGGTGATTCACTCCACAGCGAGAAAGCAAGGGTGCAGGGAGAAGTCTGCGGACAGGGCTCTAGTTCTCCTTGCCCGTCTCAGCTAACCTTTAGAACCCCGGACACAGGCAGCAAAGCTTCCCCCAAGCACAGCATGGCATCAGATCAAGGTCATAAGGCTGGTGAATATGGAATGGAAGGTTCACAAGGTGCCCAGAAAGTACCAGGTGCCAGGTACAAAGCTGCCTCTTCCCTTGCAGTGCTCTGGCTGAGCAAGGGAGATGATCAACCAAAGTGTTGTTATGGGTCTGGCAGGGCTTGACATACAGGCAAAACCTGGCTGAGCAGAGAAAGGAATTGTGGGCTGTGGCCGACCACTAAGATGAAGGACACCTGAGGTGCTCAGCCAGGGGCTGAAGCTGGAAAAGGTCACCATGAAAGGTCTTAACTATGCAAATGGAGCTGAGAAGGGACAACCTTCTAGGTGATCCAGGCGCACACTCACCCCCTTAAGAGATTCATATCGTTGGGATCGGGGTTTCTTGATGCCATTTCTGTGCCATTTTCGGGCTGTGGGAAAGAAAAGGATTTAGACCAAAAAAAGATTTATTTCAGTAAAACCATCCAACAACACAGCTGACAAGCTGGGGAGAACCATGACTTCCCAGAGATTTGGGAAAACCCTTAACACTGAACGCAAAGCACTGTGGGCATCTCAAACGGATCCCTAGCTCCTAAACCTATAAACCCAAAGGTAACAATGGATGAAAATAAAACCAGTCCCAGACTCGCCGGTGGAAATGTACGCCCCTCACTACTCCCCACACTCTCCACCCCCCACCAGTCCTAAACCATTCCCGGCCAGGGTCTGGGTCCCAACCTGGAGGCTGAGCCTGGGAAACTTACATTGGTTGTGCGTGGTGTGGTTCTTGGACTTGGCCATGTCTGCACCTGGAGGAGAGTGGAGTAGATCAGGGCTGGGGACTCGCTGGGCTGGGCCCGGCCCATCCTCCGCCCTGATCTAGAGGGGAGTGAAGCAGGCTTCAGAGGCCGGGACCTGCGGCCCCCACCCGCCCGACTCACTCTGCACGACCCGACATCGGTCCCCACCTCTTAAACCCAGGTAATGGTGCCCAGGACCCCCCTCACCCAAAGCTGTGCCCCTGGGAACTTCAGTACCCCCCAAAATCCAAGTTCACCCACCTCCCCTTTTCATTCATCCCTTAAGGACCTACAAGCACCATCCCCCGCCCCGTGGCCTCTGCTCCCCACAGCCCCGCAACCGGCCCCCCTGCCCTCCCTCTGGCCTGCGTCCCTCCGCCGCCCAGGGGTCGCGGATGGAGCCGGATGCCGCGCGGTCAGACCTCACCGTCTCCCGCGGCTCCCGGAGCGCCAGGGACCGGAAAAGAGAGAAAAAGCCGCGGTGCAGCACGGGAAATAGGATCGACGAAGCCGGAAGTTACTACTGGAAAAGCTTCCCTCAGCGCCGGCAAGAAAGGTTCCTAGACTTGGGCGGCCAAGAGCCAGACGGAGAGGCCCCGCCCCTACCCCTTCTCCTCCCTCCCAGGCCCTGGTGGTCGGGCCTCTTTAATGGTCCTCAGGGCAAAGAAAGTTCTCGAGGGATGTTAGGCTGGAATTGAGCGGATATTTGTGTTTTTAAAAACCACCCCTGGCTACTGCGTGGATAGTGGACTGTAGGAGCCAGAGGGGAGCTACAGAAGTCGATGGGAGGGTGACAGCTGCCTGGATCCGAACGAGGGCAATGGGGTTGAAGAGAAAAGAACAAGAAAAGAATAGACTGGACCTGGGTGCAGAAGACGAGGGAGAGGAAGGAGGCAAGGATAGCCCCTAAGTTTTGGGCTTGAACATCTGGGTTAACAGTGGTGCTGTTGACAGAGATGGGGAAGATTGGGGGAGAGCGGGTTTTTTGTTGTTTTGAGGGGGTCGATGATCCAGGTGTCTCTTTTTAGATACATTATGTGAGATGATTATTGGATATCCAAACTGAGTAAGCATTGCTTCCTAACAACTCTGTTGTCTGTACGATTCATTCTTCACACAGCAGTGGGGCCTGAGAGCTCTTTCTAAGATAGGAATCAGGTTCTGCCACTTAGACTTCCCCTTGCATTGAAGGTAAATCAGGTCCCTCTGCTCTTTGGATGGTGTGCTCTTTCTTGGAGAGGCCTCCTTGGGCTGCCCGATTTAAAGTAGAGACCCTCGGCTGAGTCCTTGAGTGGTGCAAACAGTTAAGCACTCCACTGTTGCTCTGTGCCTCCGAATAGATTTTAAGTCACAGCGACCCATGTGACAGAGTAGAACTACCCCACAGTGTTTTCTAGCCTGTAATCTTCACGGGAGCAGGTTGCCAGGCCTTTCTAACCCAGAGACGCTGGGTAGGTTCAAACCTCCAACCTTTTTAGTTAGAAGCTGAGCACTTAACACTTTCTGTCACCAGGGCTCCTTAAGTGTTCACCTACTAATTGTAAAGGTTAGTGGTTTGAATCCACCCTGAGGTGCTTCAGAAGAAAGGCCTGGCTATCTGCTCCTAAAAGGTAACAGCCTTGAAAACCCTATAAGCAGTTCTACTATGCACACTTGAAGTCATCATAGGTTGGAATTGGCTCAGGAGCCTCCGGTCCAAAGGACATGCTCTGCTTCTGGTGCTACTTTCTTGGTGGTATGAGGTCCCCCAACTCTCTAATCACTTCCCTTTTATCTCTTGTAAGATAAAAGGTGGTACAGGCCACACCCCAGGGAAACTCCCTTTCATTGGATCAGGGATGTGACCTGAACAAGGGTGTTATATCCCACCCTAATCCTCTTCAACATAATCCAATCTTGCCTCATTAACCATCGGCAGAGATAAGGATTTACAACATATAGGAAAATTATGTCAATCACAAAGTGGAGGACAACCACACAATACTGGGAATCATGGCCCAACCAAGTTGACATATATTTTAGGGGGACACAATTCAATCCATGACACATGCATACAACCTAAAACACACTAGTCCCATTTACATCTTATGTTTTGTAATAAATAATGGAATAAGAAAAGGAAGAAAACAAATGTATTTGTTACACACTTTTTCCTCACTTATCAACTATCTCCTTATCCGACATTTCACATTTATGACAATAGTAAAAAATCTACTCTCTGACTATTTTCACATTAATGACGTACATCTGTCTGGCAGTGACAAAAGCCAAGGTGAGAGGCAAGAGTAACATTGGCACGTTGGCTGTGATGGTTAAGGTTATGTGTCAACTTGGCTGGACCATGATTCTCAGTGGTTTGGCAGTTATGTAATGATGTAATCTGGTAGTTATATAATGATGTACTTTGGCAGTTATGTAACGATGTAATCATCTTCTATTTTTGCATAACAACGATTTCACGAAACGACCTGGTCTTTGGAACCTAACCATGTCGATAAGTAAGTAGAGGGTGTGTGCAACTGGTCATGTGGTTGTAACTGGTATTTAGGACTACCTTCTTCCACCACCCATTCTGTATTCCCTTTGCCCTCAGCAAGCACTTCAGCTGGTCATAGTTCTTTGCCAGGTGGGATGACCCAAACCTTCATTCCTGAAGGGTCTGGGTCATTAGTAGTCATGTCGGAATTGGGTTGCTGTAGTTTTCCGTTGACTTTAATCACAGAGCATGGTAGTACTAAGAGACGTCCTAAAGGGCCTCCTCTATTTCAGACATACTCTTCTTTACCTCCATTATGTAATATCAGTCTGATTTGCCCTTGGTAATCGGGATCAATCACACCACCCAGTACGCCCAGTACGGTAACTCTGTTCTTTGCCTGTTGATCCAGAGGCATGAGGAGCTCAAAGTGACCAGGTGGCATTCTTAACTTCCAGTTCAATGGAAGTTCTGTCTTAACTATCTGGTGCTGCTGTAACAGAAATAAACAAGTAGGTGGCTTCAACAAACAGACATTTATTTTCTCACAGGTTAGGAGACCAGAAGTCCAAATGCAGGGGGCCGGCTCTAGGGGAAGGCTCTCTTTCTCTATTGGCTCTGGAGGAAGGTCCTTGTCTCTTTGAGCTTTTGCTCCTGGGCAGTCTTCACGTGGGTTGGCATCTCTCTTCCTCCATCTTTGCTTGCTTAATCTGCTCCTTTTATAATTTGTGAGAGATTGACTCAGACACACCCTATGCTAACCCTGACTCATTAACGTAACAAAGACCACCTATTCGCAAATGGAATTACAACCACAGGCATGCTGTTATTGTTGTTCGTAGCCAGCCTACATGTGACAGAACAAAACACTGCCTGGTCCTGTACCATCCTCACAATCATTGTTATGTTTAAGCTCATTGTTGCAGCCACTGTGTCAATCCATTTCCTTGAGAGTTGAGGGTCTTCCTCTTTTCCGCTGACCCTCTACCTTACCAAGCCAGATGTCTTTCTCCAGGGACTAGTCCCTCCTAATAACGTATCCAAAGTGTGTGAGTCGAAGTCTCGCCATCCTCACTTCCAAGGAGCACTCTGGCTGTACTTCTTCCAAGACAGATTTGTTCAATCTTCTGGCAGTGCATGATATATATTCAATATTCTTCCCCAAAACCATAATTCAAAGGCATCAATTCTCCTTTAGTCTTCCTTATTCATTGTCCAGCTATTGAATGCATATGAGGCGATTGAAAACAGCATGGCTTGGGTCGGGTGCACCTTAGTCCTCAAAGTGACATCTTTGCTTTGTAACACTTTAAAGAGGTCTTTTGCAGCAGATTTGCCCAAGGCAGTACGTCATTTGATTTATTGACTCCTCCTTCCATGGGTGTTGACAGTGGATCCAAATAAAATGAAATCCTTGACAATGTTAAGATTTTCTCCGTTAATCATAATGTTGAAGTTGAAACATCTCAATTAGTATCCCGTCAATTCCTGGAACCTTGATTTTCACCAGTGCCTTCAGTGCAGCTTGGACTGCTTCCGGGAATTTGCGTGTGAGCAATTGATGGTCTGTTTCACAGTCGGCCCCTGGCCTTGTTCTGACTGATGAAAATGAGCTTCTCCATCGTCTCTTTCCACAGATGTAGTCAATTTCATTCCTGTATACTCCAGCTGGTGAAGTCCACATGTATAGCCACCGTTTATGTTGTTGAAAAAAGGTATTTGCAATGAAGAAGTCGTTGGTCTCGCAAAATTCTACCATGAGATCTTCAATGTCGTTTCTATCACCAAGGCTATATTTTTCAACTACAAATCCTTCTTCTTTGTTTCCAACTTTCGCATTCCAATCACCAGTAATTATCAATGCATCCTGATTGAATGTTTGATCAATTTCAGACTGCAGAAGTTGCTAAAAATCTTCTATTTCCTCATCTTTGGCATTAGTGGTTGGTGGGTGAATTTGAATAATAGTTGTATTAACTGGTCTTCCTTGTTGGCGTATGGATATTATCCTGTCACTGACAGTGTCATACCTCAGGGTAGAGCTTGAAATGTTCTTTTTGACAATGAATGCAACACCATTCCTCTTCCATTTGTCATTCCCGGCATAGAGACCATATGATTGTCTGATTCAAAATGGCCAATACCAGTCCATTTCAGCTCGCTAATGCTTAGCATATCTATCTTTATGCGTTCCATTTCATTTCTGATGACTTCTAATTTTCCTAGATCCATACTTTGTGCATTCCATACTCTGATTATTAATGGGTGTTTGCAGCTGTTTCTTCCCATTTTGAGTCATGCCACATCAGCAATTGAAGGTCCTGAAAGCTTTATTCCAGCCACATCATTGAGGTTGACTACTTTGAGGAGGCAGCTCTTCCCCAGTTGTGTTCTGAGTGCCTTCCAACCTGAGGGACTCATCTTCCAGCACTATATCAGACAATGTTTCGTTGCTATTCATAAGGTTTTCACTGGCCAGTTTTTTCAGAAGTAGATCTCCAAGTCCTTCCTAGTCCACCTTAGTCTAGAAGTTCTGCTGAAATCTGACCATCATGCTAGTATTTGAAATAGCGGTGGCATTGCTTCCAGCCTCACAGCAACATGCAAGCCACCACAGTACGACAAATTGACAGATGCACAGTGTACCACAGGCCTAGAGGTTAGTTAGGATTTACAACATATATTTTGGGGGGACACATTTCAGTTCGTAACACATGATGTGGGGTCCATGCCTGACAGAGTCGGGGCCTCAGCCTAGGGTGTGGGCAAGGTGGGGCTGGAGGTTGGAACAGCAAGGAGAAGGTCTGACTGTGCCACCCGTGAGGAAAAGAAGCAAGCAGGCTGGCAGAGGGGACTGTGGGGACTTTAGAGAGAACCAGGCTGCCCGGCCATGTGGCCCTCTAGCTGGGTTGTGGCTCCTGTAGGGCCTAAAAAGTGCGTGGTGGCAACTGCCCAGGACTTGGTTTTGCCAGGCTGTTATGATAATGGCAGA